TCTCATCTTGGCAGCGCACCGGAGTAAAAACAGATAATAAATTTCATTTTTTAGTTTTTTTGCGGGAATAATAAAAATTCATAACTACCAATTGTTTTTAACGGATACAATCCTTATATTGAATTACTTCGTCGCGATAAATGTTCATGCCAATAGTCACCGTTGCCCTAGGGCAAATTTTCAGATGAAGAGGTCAGGTGCCCGCTGACGCGGGCAGGTACCTCATTCAATCCAGATCGTCGTCGCGATAAATGTCCATACAGTGAATTGTTATTGCTGAGAATAGAGTAACTCCTCCCGAATATTATCTAATATTGAAATAGTTCTTCTACCAGTATTTTCTCTTTTCCCGTACCAGCATTTTCACTTTTCCCGGCTTGAACGTGTTAAAAGAAGTGAAAAATATTATTATCAGCGTTTAAATAATTCGGTGTCTTTATTTGGGTAAAATTTAAAATTTTCCGATCATGGCTTACTTTCCAAAAAATAATTTTTCAAATTTGCAGTTATTCAGATCTACGAGAAACAGTTAGCCATCTTTGAAATTTCTTTAATTCTCAAAATTAATTATTGATACATTTTTAAATATAAATGGAAAAAAAATCCTCAAACTACGTTTTTTTTGAATTTTATATTATCGAACAATTTATTAATACTGAAAATATAAAACAAATTTAGTAACTACTAGATTGTTTTTCATAATTAAAAAATTCCAAAATATGTTTTTAATTAAAATTTGAGCGTCAGAAAATATAAAAGGTATCCCACGTGCTCCAAAGGGTTTAAAAAAAACTATAATTTTTGTGAAAAATTTGAAATAGTTAAAAATATCATGAACATGTGTTTCATTCATTATCGTAATTTTTTTCTGGATGTAGCAGTCACAGACATATATTTTTTATAGATTTCAAGAACAATAGTATCAATATTCCATAAAATATTATTGCACACATAAATTCAGTTCTAAATAGCCTAATAACACAATCATGGAAAGGTTAATACGATTCACCAAATAAAATTAAATCCAATTAAGTTAATATTTTTTTTCATCTTCTTCATATTTCAAATAATGAGCTCAATTTGAAATGAAAAACAGAAACGAACCATTTTTGGAAATGTGACTAAGTTAATAAAGTAGTGAAGATACAACTAGAAGAGAGGAATGTTTACTGACTTATACTTATGTTGTCAATCTTTTTTTTCTGTTTGATTTGATGCGAAAAGTATTTTTTTTTCTTGAATGATTCTTATTTGATTTAACGACCCATAACTAAATGTAGTATTTGATTATTTCTATTAGATGCACCGAATCATTACATATTGTAACTGCTCTATTTTGGTTTTTGGCCGATAAAACAACATTTATCGTTTCACCCATTTGTTTTTATATCTAAATGATAGTATTAGTGAGATTTTTTTGGTGCATTTAAGTATTTCGTCCATGAAGGAAACTTTACAAGAAAAAATATTTTTTCCTTTTTTTTTTAAATTTTAAATGGAAGTTATTAATTTAATTTCTTAAATACAACAACAAAAAGACAGGTTTAGCGGAAAAGTCCCTCTACAGAAGTTGTAGTAATTTTTTTAAGTCGCCCTAGAGCTGCTCAATGGATTATTGGCGACAATCTGAGAAGCATCCCTGAGGAAGATCCGAAGACATGCCATCACAATTTTGATATTCTGCAGAGGGGATGATACCCCCGCTTCGGTAATCCGCATCCTGAGCGTGAAGTCGAGCACCAGCCTACAATAGAACTCGCCCCTTCATACAAGGATACCAAAAGCGTCGATAAAGTAAAAAAGTGGTAGAGTATTTGCCCTTAAATGTATATATCAGATGTACCACTTGATTCTGTCGAATACTTCCGTTACATGTTGGAATAAGTATGCACAAGCTCTTTTGCTCTATGTATGCAGTGTCTTTTTTAAGTAGAACATTCCCATGGAGTTAAAGGGTTTTCTTAAGATTCATAAGACGATATCTCTAAACCATTGTTTCAGAATTGGTAGTTCGCGAGCTCTAAGACGATATCTCTAAACCATTATTTCAGAACTGGTAGTTCGCGAGCTCTAAGACGATATCTTAAAACCATTAATTCAGAACTGGTAGTTCACGAGCACTGGAACGATATCTCTAAGCCATTATTTCAGGACTGGTAGTTCGCGAGCACTAAAACAATATCTCTAAACCATTATTTCAGGACTGGTAGATCGCGAGCGCTAATACAATATCTCTAAACCACTGTTTCAGAATTGGTAGTTCGCGAGCTCTAAGACGATATCTCTAAGCCATTGTTTCAGAACTGGTAGTTCACGAGCTCTAAGGTTCTAGCAAGAGGTATAAGAGTTCCCGAAAATGTCATTGTTGACCCATTGACGCAAATAAGACACACACCGGTGTCCCTTTGATATATTTTTTCGGACGCTCTAATTAGAAGCAAAAATCTTGGTGGCTTTAATTACAAAAATCAGTCTACTTACATGCTAAAAAATCTGCTAGATTATTGGAATTATATTTGCAATAAAATATAAAATCCAAAGAAAGTAGTTGTAATTTCTCTGTCCTTCATATTCAGAAATATACCAAAAATATTTTGCAAATTAAAGATATTTAATGATAAATAACTGACTCTCTTAGATATAAATAACTACAAATTTGAAAAATCATTGTTTGGAAGTGAGCAGTTTTTGAAATATTTTACCTTCGACGCAAAAAAAAAAGACACATGTGTTTCATGCGGTATTTCATAACCATAAATTATATTAAAATGCTAAATATGATATTTTTCACTAATTTTGACCTAAATTTATGCAAAAAAATTTTAAAAAAATATTAAAAACACGTTAATAAATATTCTGAGTCAAAGAGTTATGGCGGAAATTTAAATGCCAAATATAAAAAAATAACGAAAAAATAAATTTACTATTCTTTATTTATTTCAAAATTACTAATTCAAAAACGCGAATTCATTTTTTTTTCTTAATTATTATTTCATTTGTTCTTTTTCTATATCCGATATCGCCTGCAAAAGTTTCAAAATTTAGTAGATTAATAGGCTGGTAAATTAAATGAATTTAACTTATTATTATGCATTTTTTAGAGGTTAGTATTCATATAGTATACATATGCATCATAAATTAGAAAACATTCTAAGCAGTAAACTAATTTAATATTCGGATCGGTTCATTATTCTCAAGCATATGAGATTTTTTATTTGGTTTCTATAAAACAACAAAATGATTGTTTTTCCACCATTAGAATATGGTGAATTAAATATGATGAATTAATTTCATGACTTTTCAAAATTTCATGACTTTAGCAAATAGAGGACCATAAACATTACATAACATAATTTCGTTAATATCATATAGTATATCTCAATAATAAATTTCAAATCAGTATAAAGCAGTATTACATTCATTACGTTTAACTATAAGGAAAAAAAATGATATTAAACGAAAATATATACTAATACTTTTCTGCGACCTTTTAATAGAGTATATTTTTCTGAAAATATAAAGTTTATTATTGCAAAAACAAATAAAGCTTTATTTTTAAACATAAAATTAATGGCAATATCGTTGCTAAGTAACGTCGTAAATTGTATTTTGTTGATGACGTGGAGTTTGGGATGAATTACACGTATCATGCAAATATTTATTTATCGCTTGTTATTTTAGTCTATTATTTTTTTATTGACTTCATGTCATATATTTTAAACTATGAATGCAAACTAAGAGTTTTACTATAATTCTTGGTCTGTTCTAAACGGATAATATTTCATTCAATCAAACCTTTCACGCTGACCGGTGTCCCTTTCATATACTTTTTTTCTGATGCTCTAACTAAAAGTAAAAATATATTTTGCTATTTTTAAATTATAAAAAAAAATACTCTAAAAATTACTAAAAAAATTTTTTTTTATTATATAGGAATTATATTTGTACTGAAATATAAAATCAAAAAATATAGTTTGAGAAAAAAATTGTCTTTCATTCATATTCAAAAATTTACAAATAACTGATATTGTAACCTAAAGAAATTTCTTCGAAAAATAACTGGAATCAGGAAAACCTTCGAATTATTTATAAGTAGTGGTGAATAAAAACTCCATAAATCGAATTTATTAAACCAGGAATCATACATTAAGAGACTATACGCTCGAAAATATTTACCAGCTATAAGTGCTATATAGCCGGTAAATATTTTCGAGCGAATAGTTGACATCTTTACTTAGGTAGCAGAGATATAAATTACTCAAATATTATGTGTTTTAATGTATGATTCTCGAATTTGTAAATTTAATTCAGAAAGATTTATTCACACTGTCGTAGATAAAAAAAAAACTCCAAACGTAAAACCTGGCATGCATAAATGCTTCATCTGCCTGAAATAAAATTTAAATCTTTAAAAACGTTAAGATTGGTGCAAAAAATATATAATTGGTGGCATTTTTCAAGGTCATTTAAAACAGTTTTTTGAACTATAACTTATGTACAGTCAATTTGTATGCATATTGAATTTGTATTGTGTAATAAGCATTTTTCTTTCCCAGCAATTAGAACATTTACATGTAATATACACATATATATTGAAAGTTAATTAAAAAAAATTAAAAATCATAAATAAAAGAGCAAAATTTATGAATTATTAACGCATAAAATACGTTTTTTTCTGATAATTTCTTGTGTCATAATTTTTTTTAAAAAAACTGCTGCAATATATTTAATTATCGATAACGATAAAATGAAAGAATACGAATGAATAAGTAAATAAATATGAGTAACAGTTTAAAATATTTCGAGTTCTTAAAACTTACGTTTATAAGATTAATAATTCCATTAACCACATTTACCAAAGATTTACCACATTTACCAGGCATCTATTTCCAAGACTGAAGTCAAACATTTTAAATTGCTCGTTAAAATAAACAGATAAATATAAAAGGAAAAACTTCAAGTCTTTGCATATTATCAATAATGCAACTAATTATATTTACCAAAGATTTAGTTTCGTATAAATTGCCAGATGTCTAATTCTAAAACTGAATTCAGTGACTTTAAATCAAGAGCAAATTTTTCCCCGCAACATCAAACCTGGAAAGAAAAAAAAACCATTTTAATGATATGGCTCATTTCACAAATAGAGCACAAATAATTCTAAAATAAATCAAATTTAACTGCAAATAGATCTTGAAGCACGAAAAAGTGTTATTTACTTAATATATTACATAACTTAATATTATTTTAAGTTCCTAAAAAGTGTGGAAGTAGAATTCCGCTTAGTATAATTATTACCTGTGATGGGTAAAAAAAGTGGAAAGAAAATACATTATAGTTCTGGCTTGAATTGAATTTGTTTTTTTAGTTTTATTTTTTATTATCCATTATGTGTACAAAGAGGAAGTGTTGAACTTCTTATAGATTCAAAACTTAGTTATACGGAAAAAGAAATTTAGATTAAATAGAAAACCTTATACACGTCATTTATGAAATAAAACTTCATAGATATAAGTTAAACTTAAAAAAAACGTTTGAAAAGCTGAGTGGAACAACCAGGAAAGTTCAGAGTGGCTGTTATTAGGGTACAGGGATGCCACAGGTGACTAAAAATGTAAAAAGGGGTTGAAACTTAATTGCATTTCATTTATTTATTATCTTTTTAATTTCTCAATCGTAGCTACCACTATGATTTACATTTCAAATTATTTATAAGAGTAAAAAAATAACAAATTGTTATTTTTTTACTCTTTTAAATACAGTTACATAGAATTCTATACTTGCCAACTCTTCCGGATTTTCCGGAAGATTTTATTTTCATATTTAAAGTGGTAGTAATTATATACTAGTTTTTCTTTTATAATCTTAATTTTCAAATGATTTTGATCACCACTATTCTTACAAAAATTAAGCACATATATTAATATGCGTTACTATCATGGTTGTCAACCTAATTTTTCTCAAATACAACGTATTTGTTTGCTTAAAACTGAAGTTTTAATTCCATTTTAATACCACTGGGAAAAATAATAATGAAAGGGATTAAAAGTTGGCAATTCAACAGTAAACTAAACTATGCAATAAAAAGATGAGGAATTTCATTAGTCATCACTTTCTGCAATTTTAGTTGCAGGTGGCAACCCTAAAGGTAAGAAGAAGAAAAAGTGATATCCGAAAATTATATTATTATAAATATAGCAAAATGGGGCATGTAAATATTTACCAGTATCCAATTTCATACCTGCCAACATTCACTCTTTTCGAGAATGGATTTTTCAAGTGGTAGTAAAACAATAACCGAAAAACTATCATCCTCTAAAATATATTTATATTTTAATCAGGTTAAAATTTGCTATTGTAAGCAGGGGTGAAAGCGAGACGGAAAAGAGGAAAGGCTGGTAGTAAAACCATTTCAGTTTTAACTAGTTTTGGGGAGGAGTTTACTTATTATTTTTTTAAATTTTTCAACGATATCTACTTTGTCTTGGAAAAGAAGCAGTTTTATATATATGCCAGAATTATAAAAGAAATCTTGATAGTTACAGATATTTCATTTTTTTCGAAAAAAATGCTGGAATGAAATGTTTTACGTACCAGGCTTTTCTCTTTTCCGTCTTGCTATATAAGGGCTTTCACCCATGATTGTAAGTACTAATATGCTTTTATATATTTGTTGTAATTATTTATATGTAGTGGTGGTTAAACTAATTTAAAATTATTATTATAATTAAAAAAGTTTGGTGAAATAACATGAATTTCGCTAGCACTTTAAATATGAAAATAAAATCTTCCGGGAAAACCGGAAGAGTTGGCAGCTGTGCAATTTGAAATAAAAATCATGCAGGTATACTCAAACGTAATGACTATTACTAATGTTAAAATTAATGCGAAAACAATAACAAATCTGTTATATCTAACATACTAATTTTAATGTGACCATTTTATGGTATTTTCCCTGTTTAATTATTGCCCTTGAAAATGTCACTTGTCTGCTTCATTCACTAATCTTTCAATTAAGAATAGTAAGAACTTATTTTATTTCTCACGAAAAACAGATATAAGTGTTAATATTTTGTTTACAGTTTTTTTTTCTTTCTTTTCAGTCTTATTTTCAGCCCTGTGTACTTAAAATAGGGTTTCTTAAACTTTGGACGAATTCCTTGGAGTCACTGGACCTACAGTTATAAATATTAGTAATTTTGATATTTTTTTAATTTATTAAAATAATTTTATATTTTTCCAAATATTTTTATACAATGTATCTGGAATCGTGGTGGCTGAGAGGTTAGAGCGTTGCCCCCAATAAGATGAACCGGGTTCGAATCCCAGCGATAGCTGCTCGATACGAATTCCGCACCCTGCTTACACCAACCACAGCGTTGACGTAATAATATCCTCAGTAGCAGACGGATCATGGGTCCCCTTGGCGTCAGACTAGGGGAGATTTTCGTGGTTTTTCTGTCAATGTAATGCCATACCTATCATTACTTCTGGATTTTCCGGAAGAGTTTATTTTCATATTTAAAGTGGTAGTAAATATATACTATTTTTTCTTTTATAAACTTAATTTTTAAATGATTTTGATCACCACTATTCTTACAAAAATTAAGCACATATATTAATATGCGTTACTATCATGGTTATCACAATGCCATTAGTACCAGTCGCCCTAGGGCAAATTTCAGATCAGAGGTCTAGTGCCCGCTTGCGCGGGCAGGTACCTTGCCAAAATTACACGATCCAGTCAGTCATGGTTATCAACTGAAGTTTTTTCAAATGCAACGTATTTGTTTGCTTAAAATTGAAGTTTTAATTCCATTTTAACACCACTGGGAAAAATGATAATGGAAGGGATTAAAAGTTGGCAGGTATATAATGCAAAGGCGGGTTAGTTTCACATACCCTCCAACTTATGAAGATTTTGAAAATAATTCTTTCTAGTGGTAGCGAACCAAAGTAGAAATTTTTAAAGAAGAAATTAAAGAATTAATTTTAAAAGTTAAATTTTCAAAGTAGAAATTAAAGCAAATGGATCTCTCATAAAACTTTTATCAGAACTTAAGAATCTAGCCATATGACCTGCACTTTTATAAGTAATAGTGGACAAGTTACGCTAAAACTAATTTTTTTTTAAATATTAAGACTTTAATTTTGCTTCAAAAAGTCTTCCAGGAAGGCAAATTTCTCCCAATATTTGATCCAGGAGTTCCCGTGTCTTCTGGATTAGGTTCAAAATTACAAGGCTATGGAGTTTAACATTGGTAGCCAGAAACTCAAATTTGAGTCTTCTATTCAACTACGGTTATTAAATATTAAATAAAATAAAATAATGAATCTGAAGATAGATAAAGACAGTACTTTAAACCTTTGACGCAAGAATTTACGTTAAACATATTTTTAATACTTTTTCTCATTATTTGCATTAATTCATATGAAAATAAGAGGAAAATATTGTATTAAACATTTTAATAATATATGGTTATGAAATACAGAAACATCTGTGTCTTTTTTTGTTAAAGATTAACACGGCTCATTTTAAAACAATAATTTTTAAATTTTACACTTATTTGCAGTTTTTTAAATCTAAGAGAAACAGTTAATTTCTGTCATCATTAAAATGTCTTTACAGTAGCAATTATTTTTACATATTTAAATATGAATGGAAAAAAAATTTAAACTACTTTTTTGGATTATATATTTCAGTAAAAATATAATTCTGATAATCTAACAGATTTTGTTAGTAACTGTTATACTTTTTTTAATATTTAAAAAATACCGAAATATATTTTTGTTCGTAGTTAAAGCGCCAGAAAAAAAACATGGAAAAGGAACATCGCTGTCTCGTCTGCTTCAAAGGGTGAAAGAATTGTCCCAAGTAATTAAATTTAGATTTTCATTGTATTATAATTTTAAGAGTTTGATACTTTTTTAACATTGTTACATGTCATAAAGTTAATGGCCTATAACAGTAAAAGTTCATTACAATGCAAGTAAAGAAACTTGCACTTTCTCTAAGTCGTTTGTCGGATTTGCGCAATGATTAAGAGTCCCACAAATTTTCGTAAATATTATGGTGTCCCTACGCCAAAAAATTTAACAAACTCTGATTTAAAGAATAGGAACTTAGTCATTGAGTTCAGATTTTAATGAGAAAAAGTTAACTATTTTCCTTTGCAGAAATCAAAAAATTGTACATATCTACCATCTTTACTTTTTTGATGTCTTTTAAAATGTGGGTAATTTTTGGGACACCGTACTTAAAACATATAGTTATCGGATGATCTTAACTTTCACACATAACCATTTAGTGTGTGTCTTAGAGTACTAGGTGCGTTTTCAACAACCAATAATTCATTTGTGTTGTTGTTTCTAATACCTCCTGCCAAATACCAGGAAGCATGCTTGGTGAAACCAAGCGAATTTAAAGCAGAAGGTGCGGTTCGCGTTTTTCAGTGGCTCCATCTATGACCAAGAACACAACTTCAGACACACACTCCCGCCAAAGCCAGTTTTAAATTGTGGATCCATTCATTCATCCACAGATCGTAATTTTGACTTGAACCAGAGAATGATCAATCTCCAATTCAATAAACCCAGAGGTATTGATTTGTTATGTGAATTTTGAGGACTTTGTGACCCAGCAGATTTAACGTGCATCAGTCACCATTTACTGCACGGAGAGTCTTCGGCCCGTTGTTACCGAAATCTCGATCTCTTGGACATGGGGCCAACGTCCTACTCAGACAAAATCAGACTATCCCGGTCTATAATTCGATTGTTCAGCTATCCAACTTGAAAAAGGAAGAGATGCGTATTTACTGAAAATATCAGTAATATATAAATAAACATCATGTACTGATAAATTCTTGAAAGTGTGATTTTAAAAAAAAATTTTAGTACAAGTATGTCACGTGCTCCTGAAAATGTAAGAAGAGATAGAAACTCAATTTATTTTTATTTATTTAATGTATTTAATTATTAATCGTAAATACACCCATAAGTTCCATTAAAAATATTACAAACTACTAGAAACGCGAAACTTTTTTCACTAAATGATCACCAAGTTTTTGTAATTACTGTTCTTTAAACAACAAAGA